TCGATATCCGTCGCGGATTCGTCATCAGAGACATGAGTAGCAGAAAGGATATTAAAAAATAAAGACGTAAGTCCAAATTACTCGCTACCGTTTCTGATTTAAACTACTTGGTATTGAGAATTACATTTAAATAACTCATATGTGACAGATATTTTCGTTTTGGAAAGAAACCCCGTTTTCAATATTTACACCATTCAAAGACAAATGCGAATGAAGTGCTTACTCCATTCGCGATCATTTACTGCACACCAGGGTATTTAATTACCGCTTATCTTCATAAGCACGTAAAGATTGAAATTCCAATAAACTGATTAAAAAGAAAATATCGCATAGCTCGGTCTCATGGATGTAGTTCAAGCACTGCAATGGCACTTTTTGTCAAAAGGCATTATCAACCAGTACAGAAGTAATCATACACAAATGGTTATCATAATCTCCGTATAAAATTAATTCTTGTTATTTGGCTAAAAGCCGTATGCAGGTGGTGATTTAAAGAAAAATCAAACAAAAATATTTAGCATTTTTTCCGGTGCAGTGGAACGCCTATTCTGGATTGGATTTGAGATATCTGACAATCAAAGAGATTAAAGACAAACAGTAAATCAAAGTAAGGACGGGATAAAACTACTGCTGGTATTGTAGTTTGATCGGATGAATCCAAATAAACAATGAACGCACGGGTGCCGGTATGGTACGACTTGAAACTGGAGGATAGATGAACGCGGAGTATACACATTATAAGCATTATTTAGTTCTGGCATGATAAAACAAAAGTGTTGATGTCAAAATTCTGTCATCATGCAACTCTCTTATCACATACACAAAGTCTTGTCCATCGGGCTCTTCCTTTGTTCCTTCTCACGCATATCTGCTACTATATATGTATATTCTGTATTAAGTTACTCCCAAAGGCTGTCATTCCTCTCTGCTATTATGACTTGGCCGGCATCGGTCTGGCAGGTGGTCATCAGTTTCGAGACCTCTAGTCACCATATGAACTTTTTTAGTTCGGAAGCCTATTGGATCAGTGTTCGGACATTCCTGAGTGAATATATATATATATATATATATATGTATAAGTAGCCAGACAATAAATCCTTGGTTTCCGTGATCACTTAGTTTTCTCAGTTATGTGCGGGAACACGCATTTTCGCTTCTATCAGCAACATATTCGGGCGCTAAGCGCTACATTCAGCACGACGATGGAAAACCTTTGCACTTCGCGTGTCTTCAACATACGCGCAAATATAATTTCTTCACATA